GTAACTCGAATAACGAACGATGATAATTATATTAACAACTACGAGCGAAATATCGAAATAAAATAATTCTATTCGTTCATTTCTCACACAAATGCAAGATTTTCTTTTTTATTTTGGCATAAAGAGTACCAGCGAGCTTATGAAAATCTAAGAAAAGCTTCGAATTGCTGTTTACGACGAAAAAGTCTTCGAGTTCAAAGAATTAGGAAAGGTATCGGATAATGGTAAGATGATTAAAATCAACAGTACCAATTGCACGTTTAACGTGGTAGGAAATGCAACTGGTTGTTCAAATTATTATCCCTGTACACTGGAAAATTTCCTCGTTATGAAGATATAACAATTCGAAGCTTTTCTTGTATTTTCCTTGTCTCAATGCTACCATTTATGTTAAAATAAAAAGAGGAAATCACGTGTATTTCATTTCAATATTTCACGTGGAGTTAGTTCTAATCTAGTAATATCTCGTGCTCGTTACTCAGGCTTCCAGGTATTGAAACAAACGGTGACTGACAGCGAGAGTTACCTCTCGAGTGCAAAGGGTTAACCACTTGCGCTGGAAAGCCGTGCCACGCACGTCGAGATGCTTCTGTTACCGGAACACCAGCAACGTGTTACACACGTCGTCGGGCGATTGTTGCAGAAAGAAAGATGACGTGCGTGGCACGTCGACTGTTAATAAAATTCTTTATCGAGGCACAGTTTCTGCTTGCACTTCATCGTGTAAAGTTATCAGTATTGACCCCAGACTGTAAAATGGAAAATGATAACGAAGCCAGTGATATCATTTGCGCACCGAAGTGATTTGCACTCGACTGTTCTGGCACGCGCAACAGTGAACTTCTTTGCACCGTGAGTGATTAAAGGAACCTCTTTTAAGTAGGAATCTATCTATTGCCGAGGGTGAGAACTTGGTCGCTACACCAATCATTCTTCTATTATTCTCATACCTCTACTTCGTTCTAAGATGTGGACCAAGATTCGTGAAAGACAGGTGTTGCGGCCCTAGGACCGCAATGTCCCAGGTCAAGTGGAGGACTGTTTTATGTCCTTATTGTCAGCATCCCTTGACTTCCATACACTCCTTGTCACCTAAGCCACCACTTGGGTAAACCGTGACAAAGACCGATGTATTACCCTTTAAGACGACAGGCATAAGGACCTAGATTGTTTAAACAACCAGCACCACCGAAAGACGCTGAAGCTAGCACACACCCCGAATATTATACCAACCAATCAGTAGACAGACGAACCTTATAAAACCACCGACGTAGCAGTCACAAGAAGATTCTTAGAGAAAACTCCATCACGAAAACACCATCAGCATCGAGACCTATCAACAACTCAGCGCAGGAGACTGTTTACTATAGAACTCTCTGCAGTTCAACAATAACCAGGCCTGCCTCTATCAAGTTAGAGTAGGCCGCATCCCAGCAACATTGTCGCAGCAGTGTAAACGGGCCTTAAAACCCCGCGAATTCTACTCTACATCTTTCAAACAGCGTCAAATGCCCTAAAAACAATTATACAAATTCGATAATTATAGTAAATTATACTGATTTTATTAGATTCCTTTATTAATTATATACTATGAATATACTAATATGCTTTCTTTAATGGTCACCAACAGATCATAGTCCAAAGAAAATGAAATTAATTTAATCATAATGAGTTACAAACAAAAACATATTCCTGTATTAAATAATCGCTAATTCACTTTCTATTTCATAAGACAGGTGACTACCAAAATTCCTCAATTTTTAATGTTACACTTTTATGACAGTTCTAAAACATTTTCAGGTCTCACGACGAGTGACTGGTTGCTCGTGAAGACTCCTATACCAATCATTCTTCTATTCTTCTCATACCTCTACTTCGTTCTAAGATGTGGACCAAGATTCATGAAAGACAGGAAACCATACAAACTGAACACGTTCATCAGATTCTACAACATCTTTCAAATGGTGTCAAATGCGTTAATTGTATATCATATAGTGGACATGGGATTCCATAAACTATACATCTTCGACTGCATAGAACCCACTTACGAAGATGGCACCTTGAGTCCAAGGGTATGATTTTATACTAAATAAAACAGTGCTCGTAAATAGATGATCGCCAAGTTACACGCATACAACGCGATATCCGTGTATGTGAGGCAGGCATATGTGCACAGATACCACGTTCGAGGAAAATATTTTGTCAAATTTTGTACAATCGATACTGACGTAAATTTATATCGTTATCTACAAGACTAACTCTAGATGCATAAATTAAGTAGAATTACATAACGGAAGCTGAAATATACATTGGAAATTTTACAGAAACGTGGTAAAGTAAAGTGATAGATTACATAGTCATCGATACACACACGATATAAGAATTATTCTACTTTTGAGATTGTGAACTCGTGGAAGACATAAAGGAAACAAAAATGCAGCAGACGCTTTAGCAATTCAAATTCATACAAATGAAACAATGCTTCCTGCAAAAATTGAAACAGTCGCCATATTCACAATAATGCTACAATGCGTTATACACTATGATGAGAAGTATACGAAACCGATATAATGAAAACGTAAGTTAGATTGCAGTAATCTCGGTTAGAACTATAGTCGTTGTAGTACATTAGAATTGTACATACTGGTCCAATATTTTGGTCTCACCCTATAGAGCTTTCAATCGAGACTTGTCGATCAATGTATTGCCTAATTCAAGGTTCAAGAATTTAACCTGTTGAAACGAGAAGAAATCGGCGGCCCTATTTTGCTTTCTAAATAGCTATTCATATATAATTAAACCATAATAACCAGTAGGAAAAGAGCTTACATTGGGCCAAAAACAACTCGTTCAATTAATTACTCTTCGCTAAACCTAAATAAAATCTTTTAAATATAGAAGAGCCTCGATTATCGGAACCAATCATGATGCATAATCATTCGAATAAGTATATTTTTCTAATGATTGAATAACACTATTTTCAAATGAAAAACTATTGTCCATATTGAAATATTCTGTAAAATATGGATATTAGACGTTGACTGTCATATGCCTTTTATATAATTAGAGAACAACGATAAAATTTCTATTATTTCTCGGATATAATGAAGAATTATCAAATAATATGGCAAAAATGGGTACAAGCTATTAATATTCCGTATTTATTTACGTCGTTCAAATTTTTAAAAAATGGTTAAAATAAAACAATTATCGCAAATTTAAGAAATTAGTATCACTGGTCTCTTGTGACCACCGTGGCAGCCATAGTGTTGAATGAAAATAGAAAACTTTCTCCAAAATTTAACAATTTTCTCCAATTTATCCCTGGTTCGGATAATCGAGATCCTGTAGCAAATTAATTCCGCGCGAAAATAATTTTTCTGCATCGATGTTACAGTCTGATCAATTGGAATATTACATACTGATCGTGAAAATCATCGATTTCACCGAGACGTTCTTGTTCGTACTGAGAAAGAAGCAACGTCAAATTTCGTTCCTGCACTTGTACCACCATATTTCGACGGTATTCATTTTCTGGTACACCATAAAGTATTTCAAGCCTGGCTCGACTTTAACCTTTTCCTTATACAATTCTTCGGTACACGTGATAATGTACACCTACTATTTCCTCGCGTCGTTCGGACCATCGATGCAAAACTTATTAAGAGGGGTAAAGCCTCTAATCACCGTAATGCAAATGGTGAGCAGACAATTATTTTGATAGAGATAACATAAGTTTACTACAAACATCTATACGTCTCTATATAAAAATCTCATATATCTATACATAATCTAATACACAAACATATATAATATTTGAGATTATAGATGAATATAATATTATCATATTAATAATATAAATTTTGATATAAATAAGTATCTAAATTGGGGAACAATTTACTTTCGGAATTGGTATAGTTTACATAGCATAATGAGTTTCACTATAATTCTAACTTCCAATTTTTATGATTATTAATTACTAGCACATTGATGTACTATTGGTTTTAAATGGGTAGAGATTTTAAACATCGTGGAGAAAATCTTGAAATGTTTATATAATATGCTTCCAGTGAATATATATACTGATTATGTTTTTTTTTTCTGTAAATAGGTGCAGTTTATAATTCTAGCATCGTATATACTGCAAGTTTTTGTTCTTCAATGTGAATTATCGACAACGACAACTATAGTGCAATTGGGTAACATAGGGATGAACTTCGTCTTATTTTACAACTTTTACAGAATGAATTATAGAAAACAAACTAAGTCGAAATTATAACCATGAAATACTCGAACAAATTTCATTCGCTGGACTAACTTTATCAATATAGTCTTAGATATGGTGAAAATATATTAAATTTTTGTACTATTGTAAATAAGTGTATACTGATACACGATGTCCGCGTTACGGTTTGTCACCATTTTTTTCAAGCATTTCCGGCAGAGCAATAAAAAATGTTTCCGAGAAAATATCTTTAGTATTCGATGGCCTAAATATTCCCATATTCTAAAATCTCAAAAAACGCATTTAACGTAAAGAAGTCAATATCATCTTGGTTTTTTCAAAAGGCATTGTATGATTTTGACGTTATGCCATTATTGCTGACGTCAAGGCAAATTCAGCGGTGTATTATATCGTGACCTTGAAATGACCTTAAACTCGAAAATATTGCATCACCGACGATCATCGACGAGTCCTGAAACCAATGGAACCAAACCTTCACCGATTGAACTAAATACATTCTTAGAATTTTTCGAACGGCACTTTGAAAGTGCGATTACATAACCGTTCGTTCACAGGAAGTGTCGACGTTAAATATTCAATTTATTTGCTTTTTCATGTCGAATTTACGTTAATTCAACAATTTACACATTCTAACGACTAAATTAATTGGTAATTTATTTCATAAAGCACTGTAATTTATGTACATTCGTATGCATACACAGACATATATATATCAAGATTAAACATCCAGTACTGCATTTTGATCACAGTTCATCGTAGGCCAATAAACGTCTCCACAACAGACTCGGGAGCGACACTTTGGTCGTGAAATACCATTTCACAAACAACGCCGAGAATTTTGAGGTACCAAAGGAACAAAGACGAACGACCATCATGTTATTACAGGAACGAGTGAGTGAGTGCGAAAATTGTGGATTATAAACCTCATCGGACCGCAAGAAACGATTTGTTAGAACGAAATAACAGTGTTAGAACCTCCGAGTTATCATAATCACATTTGCACTATGCTTTCATCGACTTTGAGTAACAAAACATTTATAAAATTTAAATTTGTCTGAGGAATGGTGCGAAAGCAAGAAATCGATGCTTGGGAATCACCCAGCGTGAATTATTTCGCTGTTAAAGTAACTGTTTCGAAAATCATAGAGAAAAATGGCGATACATGTCTAACGAAGCCTAACGAAACAGAGTGTCGAAGAATTATTATACATAGTGCTAATTATTTTGTCACAAAAATCGTGGAAAGCAAGGAATTCGTTAGAGTAATAACAGACAATATAGAACATCATTCGAAAACAAACTTATGGTGACTGTGACTTGCTTACAAATAACTATAGAATATTTTTAAGACGTAGACTTAGAACAAAGCACTAAAGGATTATAACGGGTCTTGTAGTAGCTAAATTCTAAATACTAAGCAATTCGTGATCCGATATTGAATTTATTTAGACTATTAGGCTTTTGTACTAAGCACCTGCCTGCCACGGGGCTCATAAGAGGTCGGGGCCAGGCCACGCGAGGTAAGTAGTTTCTCGCAACCCCGTCATTCTCCGTCGTAAATCGAAAGTGACGCGGCCGCAGTCACCTCCAGGGTAGAGTCCCAGTGAGGATGACCCTTCACAGGGCCTAACCTGGATGGAAGAGTCTCCTGCATCTCTGACCTTCGCGTGAAGGGAGTTTCGCCTACTTAGAGGGAGGCACTTGCCTTCTAGACCGGCTTAAAAGGGCCCATTCTGGAAGATTGTTGCCAGTTACAGTTCCACAGCTGTCCAGTTGTCAGTTATCCAGTGAATTAGTCAGTTAATCAGTTACAGTGATAGTCACCTAGTCGAAACTCGATAGTCAAGAGTTCGTTAACTGAAAAGTGGCAGAATAAAGTGTTGTCAGAGATTTACTAGTAGCGACTTCGTTTCAGTACTTTGTTAAAACCACCTGTGATAGTGACCTTCCTACATTATATGCATACCTAACTCTTAACTTCTTTAAACAATCTATAAAATAATTATACTAACAGATTATCTGCATTTTGATAGATTCTCTTATTAATTATATACTATCGATATTCGAATATGCCTTCTTTAATGATTAACCCTTTCAGTGCCGAACGACGATGTATCGTCATTTGCTACCCCTGCGAAAAGTGCCAATGACCATGTATCGTTGCGTATGCGACGGTCCATTATTCTTCGCATTGCGAGAAAGTTTTATCTTAAAATAAATTTATAAAACGTTATAAACGGTCTAATTTCGTTCCAAAAGAATTTGAAAGATTGTTTTTGGGTTTAACTTTTTGTTATATTCTATGCTGGTTGGTGTCGAGGCTCTGTATACGCTAGAGTACTATGGTAGAAACTCGACACGGAATAGTTTCTTGGGACCGTAATCGCAATATGTTTATGACAGTGTAGTGGGTGTAAGCACTGTGCTCTTTCAATTACGCACAGTAACGACTGTTTATTGACTCGAGTATGTGAAAAGGGCAGAAAAAAGCCCGGCAATCAGCGCGCGGGAAGAAAAGTGTTAAACAGTGTGTGCATCAGTAAGCATCGATGCTAAATAAATTGTTTGTGTGGTTAAAAATAAGGAAATATTACATATCTTTAGTAGGCAGATAACTGAATATAAATATTTATAATAATACCAAAATTTGTTTTCAGTGATGTTATACTAAATCTATTCGTTTAGTAATAAATCAGTCTGACGCTTGCCGTGCATCATGGAGCTATCCTTTCGTTCTGAGCTCCGATATTGGCTATTTTGTTAAAAGTGATCGAAAATGTAATACTTATATTCCATACTACGTGACCGACATAAAACTGTGATCAAACGATGATTATTCATATGTGCAAATATTGTTTGTAGAAGAGAAACTCGTTTCTATGTTTTCCAACATGTTCTATATTGATGTTATTTGTATGATTTTCAATCAATATTGAAATATATTATTTCATTATTAATTGCATTATTTTTCCTTTCTTCCGTAATATGCTGCACTTTGAATTTTTTAAATATCATTCATAGCTTGATTTTTATTAGCTTTTTCCAAAACCATAGTAAATTCGTCAAATTCGTCCGGTTATCTTTGCACAGGCACCTGTTTTTCAGGTTATTTCATAGGCACTAAAAGGGTTAAGAACAGATCATCGTCCAAAGGAATTAGATTAATTTAATCATAATGAGATATAAACACAAACTGTCCTTTAACAGTGCTGAAACTGTACTCATACAGCACTGAAGATGATCAAAGACTGCAATGAAACTGTGCTGAGACTCTACTGAAACTGTATTGAAGCTGTCCTGAGACTGTACTTGAACCATATTTCTCTATTAAATAATCGCTAATTCATTTGTTTAATCCATAAGACAAGTGACTACCAAAATTTCCCAATTTTTAATGTTGCACTCTTCTGAAGGTTCTAAAACGTTTTCAGGTCTCACAACGAGTGACTGGTTGCTCGTGAAGACTCCTATACCAATCATTCTTCTATCATTCGCATACCTCTACTTCGTTCTAAGATGTGGACCAAGATTCATGAAAGACAAGAAACCATACCAACTGAGGACGTTTATCAGGCTCTACAACATCTTTCAAATAGTGTCAAATGCCCTAATTGTGTACAATGTGTTAGATCTGGGATTCCATAAACAATTCATCTTCAGTTGCAGAGAACCCACTTACGAAGAGGGTACTTTGAGTCCATGGATATGATTTTATACTAAATAAAACAGTGCTCGTAAATAGATGATCGCCAAGTTACACACATACAACGCGATATCCGTGTATGTGAGGCAGGCATATGTACACAGATGCCACGTTGGCGTAAAATATTTTGTCAAATTTTCTACAATCGACACCCGATGCAAAATTATACAGCTATTCGTAAGAGTGTCGCTAGATCCATAACAGAAATAGAAATACATAATGCAAATTTCATGACAGAGTGGCAAGGTGCAAGAGACTGATTACCAAGTCATCAGTGCATGACCGATACAAGAATTATTCTACTTTTGACAACGAAAACAAGTGTATGACATAAACGAAACGCAAATGCAGCAGACCCTCTTGTAATACAAATTCATACAAATGTAACAATGCTTCGTGCAAAAATTGTAGCAGTCGTCATATTCACGATAATGCTATAACACGTTATGCAATATTATGAGGAATATGTGAAAACGATATAATGACGTCATAAATTAGATCGACGTAATCGTAGACAGAATTATGGTCGTTCTAATTCATAATGACACAATATTTTGGCCTAATTTTTGATATTAACACATTACGACTTCACCTTAGGGAGCTTTCAATCGAGACTTGGCGATCACTATATTAATAAATCGAGATTCAAAAATATAACCTGATGGAACTAGAACACAATCAATGCCCTTATTTTGTTTGCTAAATAACTATTCCAACAATAATTAAATCATAAGAGTTAACAGGAGAAAGGCTTCCATTGGGCCAGAAAAGCAATTCGTCTTCTAAATTATATTCTATTAAAATTGAACAAAAATCTTTTAAATAGTAGATCTCCAATTATCCGAGCCGAACCTGATGCATATTTATACGAATAATATTTTTGTAATGATTGAATAACGCTATTTTCAGACGAAAAACTATTGTCTATATTGCAATATTTTTTGAAATATGAATATTACCACGTTGTCTGTCACGTGCCTTTTATATAGTTAGGGGCCCACGATGAAATTTCGATTACTCTCGGGAGATATCGAAGAATTATCAAACAATATGGCAAGATAGAGTGGAAATTATTAACCCTTTAGGCTCGAGAGGTGACACGCAGTCACCATTTAATTACGTTAATTAATATATCAAATTTAAAATTACCTAACGATGTGTGGAATACCGAAGAAAAATAATTTTACGTCTTAATTTGCATGTGATTTCTCATTTATCATTTTAAAAATATCGTCGACTCTATGATAGAAAGTCTTCGAATTACTATTTTTCTGTATTTCTCGAGTGCAAAGGGTTAATATCCCCGAAATAGTTAAAGTAAAACAAATATCTCAAATTTGAGAAATTAGTATCACCGATCACTGGTGACCATCGCGACAGCCATAGCGTTGAATGAAAATAGAAAACTTTCTCCAAAATTTAACAATTTTCTCCAGTTTATTCCTGGTTCGGATAATCGAGATCCTGTAGCAAATTAATTCCGTGCGAATATAATTTTTCTGCATCGATGTTACAGTCTGATCAATTGGAATATTACATACTGATCGTGAAAATCATCGATTTCACCGAGACGTTCTTGTTCGTACTGAGAAAGAAGCAACGTCAAATTTCGTTCCTGCACTTGTACCACCATATTTCGACGGTATTCATTTTCTGGTACAGCATGAAGTATTACATGGCTGGCTCGACTTTAACCTTTTCCTTATACAATTCTTCGGTACACGTGATAATGTACACCTACTATTTCCTCGCGTCGTTCGGACCATCGATGCAAAACTTATTAAAAGGGGTAAAGCCTCTAATCACCGTAATGCAAATGGTGAGCAGACAATTATTTTGATAGAGATAACATAAGTTTACTACAAACATCTATACGTCTCTATATAAAAATCTCATATATCTATACATAATCTAATACACAAACATATATAATATTTGAGATTATAGATGAATATAATATTATCATATTAATAATATAAATTTTGATATAAATAAGTATCTAAATTGGGGAACAATTTACTTTCGGAATTGGTATAGTTTACATAGTATAATGAGTTTCACTATAATTCTAACTTCCAATTTTTATGATTATTAATTACTAGCACATTGATGTACTATTGGTTTTAAATGGGTAGAGATTTTAAACATCGTGGAGAAAATCTTGAAATGTTTATATAATATGCTTCCAGTGAATATATATACTGATTATGTTTTTTTTTTCTGTAAATAGGTGCAGTTTATAATTCTAGCATCGTATATACTGCAAGTTTTTGTTCTTCAATGTGAATTATCGACAACGACAACTATAGTGCAATTGGGTAACATAGGGACGAACTTCGTTTTATTTTATAACTTTTACAGAATGAATTATAGAAAACAAACTAAGTCGAAATTATAACCATGAAATACTCGAACAAATTTCATTCGCTGGACTAACTTTATCAATATAGTCTTAGATATGGTGAAAATATATTAAATTTTTGTACTATTGTAAATAAGTGTATACTGATACACGATGTCCGCGTTACGATTTGTCACCATTTTTTTCAGGCATTTCCGGCAGAGCAATAAAAAATGTTTTCGAGAAAATATCATTAGTATTCGATGGCCTAAATATTCCCATATTCTAAAATCTCAAAAAATGCATTTTACGTAAAGCAGTCAATATCATCTTGGTTTTTTCAAAAGGCATTGTATGGTTTTGACGTTATGCCATTATTGCCGACGTCAAGGCAAGTTCAGCGGTGTATTATATCGTGACCTTGAAATGACCTTAAACTCGAAAATATTGCATCACCGACGATCATCGACGAGTCCTGAAACCAATGGAACCAAACCTTCACCGATTGAACTAAATACATTCTTAGAATTTTTCGAACGGCACTTTGAAAGTGCGATTACATAACCGTTCGTTCACAGGAAGTGTCGACGTTAAATATTCAATTTATTTGCTTTTCCATGTCGAACCTACTTTAATCCCACAATTTATAAATTCTAGCGACTTCATTAATTGGTAATTTATTTCATAAAGCAGTGTAATTTATGTACATACGTACGTATATCCAGACTATATATGAAGACTAAACAACTAGGACTGCATTTCTATCACAGTTCATCGTAGGCCAATAAACGTTCCTACAGCAGACTCGGCAGCGATACTTTGCTCGTGAAATACCATTTCACGAACAACGCCGAGAATTTTGAATTACCAAGGGAACAAAGACGAACGGCTGTCACGATAATGCAGGAACGAGTTGGTGAGTGCGAAAACTGTAGATTATAAACATCATCGGACCGCGAGAAACTATTTGTTAGAACGAAAGAACAGTGTTAGAATGGCAGAATTTTGATAGTCACATTTTGCACTATACTTTCGTCGACTTTGAGTAACACAAAATTTATAAAAATTAAATTTATCATAGGAATGGTGGGGAAATAAGAAGTGGGTGCTTGGACACCGTATGGTATAAATTATTTCGCCATTAAAGTAATTGTTTCAAAAATCAAGTAGGTTATTTGGAAAAATGATAATAAATGTCTGGCAAAGATTAATGAAAAATAGTGATGAAAAATTATTATACATGGCGTAAATTAATTTCTCAAAAAAATCCTGGAAAACAAGTAATTCGTTAGAGTGATAACAGATAATATAAGATATGATTTGAAAACAAGATTATGGTGATTGTGACTAGCTTTCAAATTATATGCATATTTAATTATTAACATCTCTAAATCATCCATAAAATAAATAATAATTGTACTGAAAATAATTACACTAAATTTGATAATTATAGTAAATTATACTGATTTTATTAGATTCCTTTATTAATTATATACTATGAATATACTAATACGCTTTCTTTAATGGTCACCAACAGATCATAGTCCAAAGAAAATGAAATTAATTTAATCATAATGAGTTACAAACAAAAACATATTCCTGTATTAAATAATCGCTAATTCACTTTCTATTTCATAAGACAGGTGACTACCAAAATTCCTCAATTTTTAATGTTACACTTTTATGACAGTTCTAAAACATTTTCAGGTCTCACGACGAGTGACTGGTTGCTCGTGAAGACTCCTATACCAATCATTCTTCTATTCTTCTCATACCTCTACTTCGTTCTAAGATGTGGACCAAAATTCATGAAAGACAGGAAACCTTACAAACTGAACACGTTCATCAGATTCTACAACATCTTTCAAATGGTGTCAAATGCGTTAATTGTATATCATATAGTGGACATGGGATTCCATAAACTATACATCTTCAACTGCATAGAACCCACTTACGAAGATGGCAGCTTGAGTCCAAGGGTATGATTTTATACTAAATAAAACAGTGCTCGTAAATAGATGATCGCCAAGTTACACTCATACAACGCGATATCCGTGTATGTGAGGCAGGCATATGCGCACAGATACCACGTTCGCGTAAAATATTTTGTCAAATTTTGTACAATCGACACCCGATGCAAAATTATGTAGCTACTTGTAAGAGTGTCCCTAGATCCATAACGGAAATAGAAATACATAATGTAAATTTCATAATAGATTGACAAGGCGTCAGAGACTGATTACCAAGTCATCAGTGCATGCCCGATACAAGAATTATTATACTTTTAACAACGTAAACAAGTGGATGACATAAACGAAACACAAATGCAGTAGACAATCTTGCAATTCAAATTCATACAAATGTAACAATGCTTCGTGCAAAAATTGTAACAGACGTCATATTCAAGATAATGCTATAACACGTCATACAATATTATGAGGAATATGTGGAAACGGTATAATGAAGTCATAAATTAGATCGACGTAATCGCAGACAGAACTATGGTCGCTCTAGTTCATAATAACACAATATTTTGGCCTAATTTTTGATATTAACACATTTCGACTTTACCTTAGGGAACTTTCAATCGAGACTTGGCGATCAGTATATAGCCAAGTCATCAGTATTTCTAAATAATTATTCAAACATAGCTAAATCATAATAACCAGTAGGAACAGAGCTTACGTTGAGCCAAAAACGCAACTCGTTTTCTTAATTATTCTTCGTTAAACCTAAATAAAATCTTTTAAACATAGAAGAGCCTCGATTATCGGAACCAATCATGATGCATAATCAATCGAATAAGGATATTTTTCTAATGATCGAATAACACTATTTTCAAACGAAAATCTATTGTCTATATTGAAATATTCTGTGAAATATGAATATTACACGTTGATTGCCACGTGCTTCTTATATAGTTAGAGAGCAACGATAAAATTTCCATTATTTCTCGGATATAATGAAGAATTATCAAATAATATGGCAAAAAAGGGTACAAACTATTAATATCCCGTATTTATTTACGTCGTTCAAATTTTCAAAAAATGGTTAAAACAAAACAATTATCGCAAATTTAAGAAATTAGTATCGCTGGTCTCTTGTGACCACCGTGGCAGCCATAGCGTTGAATGAAAATAGAAAACTTTCTCCAAAATTTAACAATTTTCTCCAGTTTATCCCTGGTTCGGATAATCGAGGTCATGTAGCAAATTAATTTCGTGCGAAAATAATTTTTCTGCATTGATGTTACAGTCTGATCAATTGGAATATTACATACTGATCGTGAAAATCATCGATTTCACCGAGACGTTCTTGTTCGTACTGAGAAAGAAGCAACGTCAAATTTCGTTCCTGCACTTGTACCACCATATTTCGACGATATTCATTTTCTGGTACAGCATGAAGTATTTCATAGCTGGCTCGACTTTAACCTTTTCCTTATACAATTCTTCGGTACACGTGATAATGTACACCTACTATTTCCTCGCGTCGTTCGGACCATCGATGCAAAAATTATTAAACCCGATAAAGCCTATAATCACCACGATACAAATGGTAAGCAGACAATTATTTTGATATAGATAACATAAATTTACTACAAACATCTATACATCTCTACATAAAAATCTCATATATCTATACACAATCTAATACACAAAAATATATAATATTTGAGATTATAGATGAATATAATATTATCATATTAATAATATAAATTTTGATATAAATAAGTATCTAAATTGGGGAACAATTTACTTTCGGAATTGGTATAGTTTACATAGTATAATGAGTTTCACTATAATTCTAACTTCCAATTTTTATGATTATTAATTACTAGCACATTGATGTACTATTGGTTTTAAATGGGTAGAGATTTTAAACATCGTGGAGAAAATCTTGAAATATTTATATAATATGCTTCCAGTGAATATATATACTGATTATGTTTTTTTTTTTTTCTGTAAATAGGTGCAGTTTATAATTCTAGCATCGTATATACTGCAAGCTTTTATTCTGGACTGTACAATATCGAGACCGTCAGCTGTATTATTATTGGGTAACATAGCGATGAACTTCATCTTATTTTATAACTTTTACAGAACGAATTACAAAAAACAAACCAAAGCGAAATGATAAGCATGAAATACTCCAAAAACTTGCTTTCGTTAGACTAGCTTTATCAATTTAATAATAGATGTGAAGAAAATATGTTTTATTGAACCTAAAATATGCTTTATTATTTATATTATTATAAATAAATATATATATGTATATATATTATAATAATTATATAGTTTGTATTTATACAACCTTATTTAGTAATTTTCCTTTTCTTAAATGCTCTCGACGTACATCGAGTATGTTAACAAATCTAATTCAATAAAACATTATTATTCTCTCATGAAATACTTTATTGTATATTAATATAAAATAATACAAAATATAAGGGACAGAAAGACAGCGAAGCATTAAAAGCACATTGGAATATTTGCAATTTGAGAAAATGAAATTTCAAGCGTAATTCTTTGTAACACCTGTGTAACTGCTTAAAATTAGTTCACACCAGTCACTGACATTAGCAAGGATTAGTATGTAACGCATGCTGTATAACTGCATAAGCAGCGTACAGAGACAGAACGTATGCACTCGAACCGTTAATTCAGAGGCTACTTTCACAGAAAAGTCGAGTAACTCGACTGTATACAGGGTGTTCAAATTTTTTCAATTTACATCATACGTTTGGTTCATCTTCAAACGGCCACTGAAACTATATTTTTTGATACACTAATAATATTGAAATACTTCCGCCATTGAAATTATTCATTCAATATTTATCACAGTGAAAAGTTTGCTAAATTATTTATAATTTATATAGTATATATAATTATTTATTGATATATAATTATTTATTTATATATATGTATATCAAATAGGATATTTATACTAGTACGAATATTAAATGATCTTCCAGCTTTCCTTTACCTAGTGTTAAACCGACGAATTATGTCACTTTCTGTAATTTTTCACACTTATGGTGAAATATCGTTGAATATTTTGAACAATAATAATAATAAGAGCAATATAGCTTTGTCTTTGAAATCAGATGTTTCATCGTGTTATGTCAAACAATATTGTCTGTCTACGATATTTTGTAAATCATTTGATCGATTTTTCCAAAGAAACGATTACACGATCGATGATCATTATCTAATTTGGATCTCGGTGACGCATACGTACAAAGTCAATTAGAGATATGAAGTCAACGCGGTTTAGTTGCACCATGTGCACAAACCTGTTCTTCCACTCGCAAAGTTGTTAAAACACACCCAAAAAGTAACTAAAAAATGTATTATAATAACCCAACGACAAAATTTTATTCCTATGTTATAATTAAACTAAGAAGTATCTAAATCTTTAACAAAAGTTTAACACACTGTCTCCTTATTTTATTTTATATTAGAAATAATGCTATTGAAAATTTTGTAAAATATGTCAGCTATGTTGCAATTACTGGATATAAAATTTAAGAAATTTGTAAAAATGCGAAACTGTATTATAGATATAGAAAATTAAACGAGGAACAAAAATTGCACGAGGCAACGGGTCATTTATTATACTAATTGTATATATGCAAACTGGATTATAAAAGAAATCAACGACCATTGCCAAAATATTACGTAAATCTATGCCTAGTTAACCTTAAATTGTATAGTACAAGAATGAACCATAAAAACGAGAAAAAAGAACATATTGCAATATATGTATACTTTTTAATGAAAATACAGGCAAATGTATATATTAATATTATTCACAAGTTGAGATCAGTTAAAGTGATAAAAAAATAATAAATATTATATTGATAAATAAATTGCTTTAATATAATAAATGGTTTTCTTCTTGGCCACCACTGTGTGCCATATGGTTGACAAACTGTAAATTATCCAATACTGTAGTGCAGGATGATTTGCTCGTTAATAAACCCAAAGGCTTATTCGGGAAATCTTACACTTGAAACTTTGCAGCTTACACATAGAAACACACAAATATGTCGCTGCGCACATTTGTCAGATTATCGTATGACACGGAACCCCTGTCGTGATGTTTAAGCCTTTAGGCGACAGCACTGCCTTTAAATAACGAGCGAAACGCTCTGTATATAAGTATTAAAACTTCGAAAGAACATCTTTATCTCACATTAACGATATAAGACTATCTTTGAAGACTAAATAAGACACAGGAATATAAATAGTTCTTCCTGCTAGCAGTACTTTATTCAGCTTTCCACGAGTTCTTCTTAACTCACAAATTGCTTAAAGATTTAGTTCTTATATTAATCCTATTATCGAATGTAACGGTGGCTCGTGAACGGCGTGAACGGGAGTCGACGTTACTGGTGGAAATAACGACAGTGGTGGGGGGTGATCGTCTATTGGTTCGGCGCTAGTCGCCGATATGACGGACCATGACGAAAGCCCTTCTTTTCATGGGAACGCAGCAACCAGATTTGGTTATGTCAGTGGGCAGTTAAAGAGGTTAAAATGTGACATTCTCTTTCCTTAATTTTTCTGCTAAGAGCAACAGATTAGACGTAACAACCATTGTGAGAATAAATCGTCGTACGGGAACGCGCAATTTGTCTTGCACAAGTGCAGAGGCACGCAGCGCTGTGCGCAACGCGATAGAAACGGGAACCACCTGTTGCAGACGCCCGTTGTCGGTTCGTTCCGCAACCGACCAACGGACGTGAATAATCCGTCGCCTTGCACAAAAATAATCGGTGATCTACCTCCTTTCGCGTGTATTGCACGTCGTTTTAATCGCACAGACCACGGGGAAACAGTGAATGAATGAATTCATTGCGCAGGTGTTGCACACCTTTGCGTAAGCAGTGATTAGGAATGAAAGAAATAGCGCGTGCTTCGCGCAATGCTAATGTTTTGTAACGTAGGTGTGTTTAAACATGGCGATAATGTTTTTATTGTAAGCGCGTTGAAATTTTCAGTTCCAAATACTTTATAGAGCGGTAATCGGCTTGTAATTATAGGACCCAATGAAAATACTGGTGAAAAAAAAAGAAACGAAAATGACTGATTCACTAAAGTAGGTAAACATGAATATGACTTTAAATGAAGTATTTGGAAATGTTAATAATTCAACATGTAAACTCGACGTTATATTAAATACATATTTATTTTATTTATTGTAGGAAAGATAAGAGTATGAAACTTCTTTAACTAATTTATGAAAGATTGTAAATATAAGATAAATGTATGGAGAGAGAAAATAAAAGCTATTTTGAGTATATATTTTTGGCTGGTGGTACTGAAGCTTTTATGTCACTGGATATACTTATTATATGATGAATGTTTAAACGAATAATTTTCTAATTATTCCAACTGATAAAGAGTTAAAAAAATGTTGCATGATGATTACTATATCTAGCAATTAGATCACTTCCTTTTCCTAGAATATGTTATAATATCTTATTATGGCATAAAATGCAACATACATGATTTCCCCTTTTTATTTATTCATTATTAAACTTTTAACACAGCATTAATAATAAATTTTAAAATTCTATCCAGTTGCATGCACAGAATTAGAATAATAAATGCAAGATGTATAAACAGTTTCTTTAAAAGAGAGAAATTGTTGAAATTTCAAAATGATAAGAACGTAACGTAAGCGGAAAAAATAAAATTTGTTGATAACCCAAACCACTACAATTGTTAAACATGAAAAGATATTGTATCTCCTGAACCATATGTTTTTAACTTCTACTTCGTGTAAGATAGTTAATGCTTTTAGGCTATTTTAGCAGACACTTCACATAATATTTTGCACTATACTTATAATTTTAGGGAAACAAATAATGATTTTAAATATAAAAAAAGAAATTCGGGATAAAAATATTAATGTTTCATGAAAATAAAAAATTAAGGATAATATCACATTTATACCTGAGAGAACACAACCTATTGATGACTTTTAAAATTAACATAAATTATTATCAACGTAATGAAAAAACAAAATATAATAAATAAGAATATAGACGTAAAATAAGAAGAAAATGGAAAATATACATTTTACATTAGATTCTTATTATACTGAATGCAGTAATATATTATTTTGATAAGATTTAACATAAATTTTGATATTTTTATTTTATGACATGTATATTATTACAACTATCCAATCACTATGTCTGATTTCTAATAACGATAAGCATAAATACGGACTTTATTTTCTACAGTGATATATATAATGCAAGATAAATAAAAATATGGAAATTAATAAAAGTGGAAACCAGGCTTACTAGCTTCTTATGGAATTATTTACTTAATCACTTATTCAAAAACTTACTAACAACATATTAAAGCCAAATATGCAATTCATTGATATATCCCACCGGTTTTAGATATCACCGTTTTAATTAATGTACATAATTGCACATAGTACATAATATAGTAAGATTCCTCATTATCTGATTCACAGTTTAAAAATTAAACGAGCTGAAAATAAAGAGCTGTTCAAATAAGAAAATAATTCAACGAGGCTCCATAATTAGCAACCTCAATTTTGTTATCATTAGCTTCTAAAAAATTATTTTTCTACGGCATATTTTATTACATATAACTGTAATGATCATGAAATATAAATTCACTGCAAATTACACTCTGCTACAAATAAGCAACCATGTATTTAATTGCAATATCTGACACCATATGTCTTGCATGAAAACACAATAATATATATAGTACACGCTATATAATATAACACTGGACAATATATATTACAATATTGTGCTATACTGCATAATAGTATGATACATCAAATTAATAATATATAACATAGCATAATACTATACATAGAATATAATATGGTATAATATATTTCACATTTCATGAATGGAAAAATAGAGCCAATGAAAGCAACCTAAACCCCAAGGATGGCAAAAATCCAACAATAAACAACAACACCAAGCCCACTCGATAATTTCACACAAACGTATTAAAATTTACTTTACTTTTACATTTTTCGATGAATATTTTCAGTATTCTACGCGGCTTCCGCAGATTATTTACAGAAATTTGGCAAAAAAACCCTTGCTTTAAAAATTCTCAAATATGGAGGACACCCCATCTGCGTTCTAGGTTTTTCATTAACTCTCACACGCTCGCCCACGGTTATAGAAAGTAGCCTACATTAAGCCTAGCCATTAACAGACGATTTGTATTCAAACCCGCGCTATTTTCTACTCAATGGAAATTACGGTAATGATACAAGTCTCTATCGATATCTAGAGCGTAGACGGAGGAGGAGGGATGCTGGAATTCATCGTAAATAACGAGACTTCCTGCCTCGATGTAATATCCAACGACAGATCACAACCAGATCAGACCACATCAACTGGAACGAGCTACGAACTTATCTGGAAGGTCCTTGCGCATAAGAGCTTGCTCTTTATCAGTATACTTCCAATTCCTATACCTGAATAGACCAAACGTTTATGGCAAACGATACTGAGCTCGACTGAGAAAAATACCGGCCATTTATTATTTCTATTTCATGCTAAAGCGGAAGGATAATATTCTTGTTTCGTGACTCACGTGTAGCTTCTCACAGATTAATGCAACCTTAATGTAAAACAGTAACCAAGAAATTTGCATATATTAACATCGGATACAGCAGCCACTTTTTTCCAAGTGCGACTGCTGAGGAAGCAACGGAATCGGAAACGATGAAAGCGTGATACAATTTACAATGCAGAGTGATTTTCGATATAATAATTCCGACTTGCATCGCCGGAAGAGATTTTTAATTTTCAACTCATTTCCCTTGGTGCATCCGAAGATCGATATCGGTAGAGTAATCAGGAAGCTATTAAGTCTGCTGTGCTATCGAATGTAAATCGTTTTTAATAACAGGTAGAAAGTACGTGTAATGATTGAACTGAGGATGTTCACAAGGATGTTTGCATTTGAAAATACACGTGTTCAAAAATATTGGAATATAATGAATGTAGCAGTATATGAAACGTTTTTGAAGAATATGAAATGTATAGTAATTATACTGAGTACAATAATGGATTTTTCTTGTCCTATTATCTTTGTTATAACTTGTTAAAATTTAATCATTGTTATTTAATTTATTTAATATAATTAAATTATTGTTGCGTATATTATTAAATATTATTAATATATTTAAGTTATTATTATTCTTTATTTATTACTTATTATTTGTATAATATTTATATTATTTATAAGTTGTAATTATAATTTAAGTTACCTTTAATACATAGTAAATAATCATCTACGTTAATTATAGCGATGATCTCAGATATTTAAAATTAATTTTTGATTCGACATTTAAATTCTTCTCCTGACTTCCCAATAACTTTTCTTAAAATTCCATGCATTCATAATGTTAACTTAAAATTGGAAATTTTTTTTTGACATTTCCAATTATAGTTATTTTATTTTATAGATGTCATTTTACATTTTTCAAACCCAGTCAACCTTGTTTACTCCAAATTTTATCAGCAGTTATTAACACCATGAAAGCAATATCCAGAAATTATCATCTCCAACAATCATTGCAAATTTTATCCAACACCTGACCAACTTAAAAAAGAAGCAGGACCGTTAAACGAACAAGGAAATCGGCATTGCTAAATCGCAGTAAAGGAGAAAATCATGTCACTTACTAAGAGATACCAACTGCGACAACAGAGCCACTCTAATAGACCCCTTCTCAAATCGCTTGAACATTTCTGAGGAGCAAGAAAAGCTAAAAGGACACGACCCTCTTCGACTACCACTCAGACTTAGCAACGCGGGCTAGTAAATGACACTGGTAAACTACTATACTTGGTCCAACGAGACGAGTCAGCATCTATCTTCATTCGCTGACTGTGAATATTGACGCTGGATCCGACTTCTCTCAATTTCTTCGAAATTATCATAATCACCGCTAAAATCCACTATACGACAGACTGTACTTATACAGTTAACTCTAATCCTACCACAGCCAGTCATTCGACCGGACAAATGATTCGTCGTGGAGTGCAGATGAAGTAGGTTGCACACGAAGAATAAGTAAAGATGATAAAGGGTGTCCCAAAGTTCAAGATTTGAACTTTCCCTCATTCGGTGATAAAGTGTTGCCAACGAAAAAAAAATAAACACCGTGACAACTAACAGTTCAGAATTATTAAAAATGGAACGCTATACGAAAGATCAATAATACATTATTTACAATTCCTAGATCAAGATTTGAATTTTCTCCCATTCGTGTGGAAAAGTGTTGCCAACGCAAAAAAAAACACTATGACAACTGACAGTTCAGAATTATTAAAAGTGGAACGCTATACGAAAGATCAATAATACATTATTTACAATTCCTACATCAAAATTTGAATTTTCCCCCATTCATGTGATAAAGTGTTGCCAACGAAAGAAAAAAAAAAAACGTGACAACTGACAGTTTAGAATTATTACCAAACTTTCAAAATTTACTTTATAAATCAACATTCATTATTATTTCTTTCACTTATATGATTTCCTGCAAATTCTCATATTATCTGATTGTTTAATTCCTCGCTTTCCGTTTTGCTCTTAACTTAATTTTTACCGAGGAAAATTCCTTGCATGCCTTACATACCACGAGGGATCATTTGACCCCCTATGGTAAGAATAGATGTATATAAAATACCGGTACGTTTAGTGTTAAAAATGGAGCACTACACGAAAGAACAATAATACATTATTTATAATTCTTAATTAAAAACCTGTGTTTCCTATTAACCCTTTGCACTCGGCAATCTTTTCGTTACAGATGCATAGTAGTTTGAAGGCTTTCTGCCATAAAATCGACGATATTTTCGAAACGGTAAATAAGAAGTGCAAATTAATTGTAAGACATATTCTACGCGTCGTTGGGCAATTTTAAATTAACGATATTAATTAACAACGATCTATAGAATCCGATTAAACGGCGATAGAGAGTCGCGTCTCGAGTGCAAAGGGTTAAAATTACTTCTTGCGTGAATTTTGGGATTTCATAATAAACGTTGAATGCAGAATTCTTAATTGAGCAATGAACACCTGATGGTACCAGGTCCACTTGTAATAAGAGAAGAGGACATCGCAGAGACAGCTCGTACGACTTCCTCCCTACGTTTACCAGCAACCATATGCCACACCGACTGGGCACACACAGTCAGAGTTCAGAGACTCGCTTATTGTTCAAGCGTCGGTAGAAAGTGAAATAGTAACAGTACGAACCATTAGTCCGTAGATCCTCGTGCGTGGGCTGAAAGTGGGAACGATGCTGCAGCTGGAAGCCGTAGGCCGGAAGCCATGGATTCGGTCCGTTCACCAGATCCATATCCACTGCGTCGAACGTGGTCGGTGGCTCCTCGTCGTCCTCGGCCTCGACATCGAGCTTCGGCGACGACGTGATCGTCCTGGCCGTGGTCATCGTGGTCGTCATCGTGGCTGCGTTCAGCTCCTTCGTGCTCATCTCCAGCCGGTGGAGACAGAGACGTGTCCAGCTGTGTTCGGTGACCGACAGTCATTAACCGCTTCGCCGAACTGTGAACGTTCTTTCCGCGTTTCCTCGCCGACCCTCATGCTCTGCCCTCGAACCCTTCCGGCCACGAAGTCTTCGTTTTCTGCAACAGTGAATGCGAACTTCGATTCATCCTTTGCTTACATTCGTGTACTCGATTATAGCCTGAAACTCATGATACGACATATAAATTGATACAGTATTTAGGTGAAAAGTAAGTCGGAAGTATATATATATTGAGAAAGGCTTGTAACCAAGTAAGTGTGCTATTGATTCACATTAAGTTAGAAAAGATAGACAATATCATGACTGAGGAATCGAAAGTCGTCCAATTGCAAGTCTGAGCAGTAGAGTAGCCTAGAACTCTCAGCTTCTAGGCTAGCTTGGTAACTGAGGTGTGTAATGATCAGAATAAGCATGACAACTAACAGTTCAGAATTATTAAAAATGGAACGCTACATGAAAGAACAATAATACATTATTTACAATTCCTAGGTCAAGATTTGAATTTTCCCCCATTCGTGTGATAAAGTGTTGCCAACGAAAAAAGAAAAAAAAACACCGTGACAACTAACAGTTCAGAATTATTAAAAATGGAACGCTATACGAAAGATCAATAATACATTATTTACAATTCCTAGATCAAGATTTGAATTTTCTCCCATTCGTGTGGAAAAGTGTTGCCAACGCAAAAAAAAACACTATGACAACTGACAGTTCAGAATTATTAAAAGTGGAACGCTATACGAAAGATCAATAATACATTATTTACAATTCCTACATCAAAATTTGAATTTTCCCCCATTCATGTGATAAAGTGTTGCCAACGAAAGAAAAAAAAAAACGTGACAACTGACAGTTTAGAATTATTACCAAACTTTCAAAATTTACTTTATAAATCAACATTCATTATTATTTCTTTCACTTATATGATTTCCTGCAAATTCTTATATTATCTGATTGTTTAATTCCTCGCTTTCCGTTTTGCTCTTAACTTAATTTTTACCGAGGAAAATTCCTTGCATGCCTTACATACCACGAGGGATCATTTGACCCCCTATGGTAAGAATAGATGTATATAAAATACCGGTACGTTTAGTGTTAAAAATGGAGCACTACACGAAAGAACAATAATACATTATTTATAATTCTTAATTAAAAACCTGTGTTTCCTATTAACCCTTTGCACTCGGCAATCTTTTCGTTACAGATGCATAGTAGTTTGAAGGCTTTCTGCCATAAAATCGACGATATTTTCGAAACGGTAAATAAGAAGTGCAAATTAATTGTAAGACATATTCTACGCGTCGTTGGGCAATTTTAAATTAACGATATTAATTAACAACGATCTATAGAATCCGATTAAACGGCGATAGAGAGTCGCGTCTCGAGTGCAAAGGGTTAAAATTACTTCTTGCGTGAATTTTGGGATTTCATAATAAACGTTGAATGCAGAATTCTTAATTGAGCAATGAACACCTGATGGTACCAGGTCCACTTGTAATAAGAGAAGAGGACATCGCAGAGACAGCTCGTACGACTTCCTCCCTACGTTTACCAGCAACCATATGCCACACCGACTGGGCACACACAGTCAGAGTTCAGAGACTCGCTTATTGTTCAAGCGTCGGTAGAAAGTGAAATAGTAACAGTACGAACCATTAGTCCGTAGATCCTCGTGCGTGGGCTGAAAGTGGGAACGATGCTGCAGCTGGAAGCCGTAGGCCGGAAGCCATGGATTCGGTCCGTTCACCAGATCCATATCCACTGCGTCGAACGTGGTCGGTGGCTCCTCGTCGTCCTCGGCCTCGACATCGAGCTTCGGCGACGACGTGATCGTCCTGGCCGTGGTCATCGTGGTCGTCATCGTGGCTGCGTTCAGCTCCTTCGTGCTCATCTCCAGCCGGTGGAGACAGAGACGTGTCCAGCTGTGTTCGGTGACCGACAGTCATTAACCGCTTCGCCGAACTGTGAACGTTCTTTCCGCGTTTCCTCGCCGACCCTCATGCTCTGCCCTCGAACCCTTCCGGCCACGAAGTCTTCGTTTTCTGCAACAGTGAATGCGAACTTCGATTCATCCTTTGCTTACATTCGTGTACTCGATTATAGCCTGAAACTCATGATACGACATATAAATTGATACAGTATTTAGGTGAAAAGTAAGTCGGAAGTATATATATATATTGAGAAAGGCTTGTAACCAAGTAAGTGTGCTATTGATTCACATTAAGTTAGAAAAGATAGACAATATCATGACTGAGGAATCGAAAGTCGTCCAATTGCAAGTCTGAGCAGTAGAGTAGCCTAGAACTCTCAGCTTCTAGGCTAGCTTGGTAACTGAGGTGTGTAATGATCAGAATGATCATTGAGAGGTTAGGTAGGGACGAAGAGAATAGGTCTAAACTAAGACAGGTTATTTTCAATAATATTTCTGAAATATTGGAGGAATATAAACAAAAACGTTCAATTGCAAGTCTGGGGAGTCCTAGAACCCTTAATTTTTAGGCTAGCTTGGTAACTGAGGTGTGTAGTGATGAGAATAATCAATGAGAATTTAGGTAGGGACGAAGAGAGTATATCTAAACTAAGACAGGTTATTTTCAATAATATTTCGGAAATATTGGAGGAATATAAACAAAAACGTTCAACTGCAAGTCTGGGGAGTCCTAAAGCCCTTAGTTTTTAGGCTAGCTTGGTAACTGAGGTGTGTAGTGAGCGATCAGGGTGATCAGTGAGAGGTTAGGTAGGCACGAAGAGAGTATATCTAAACTAAAACAGGTTATTTTCAATAATATTTCTGAAATATTGGAGGAATATAAACAAAAACGTTCAATTGCAAATCTGGGGAGTCCTAGAACCCTCAGCTTCTAAGCTAGCTTGATAACTGAGGTGTGTAATGAACAGGATGATCAGTGAGAGATTAGGTAGGGACGAAGAGAGTAAGTACATCTAACCTAAAACAGATTGTTTTCAATAATCTTTCTAAAACACTGGAGGAACATAAACAAAGACAGTTGCTTAGTTCAGACTCGCAATTTACTTTGTTAGGTAGATACTACAGCCAAGTGAATAGTGAAGTAACTACTTCAGAACAGAGGCATAAGACAGTGGAATTAGGATCATTCTCTTTTACATATAATAAATTAATTTTTAAATTGGTGGTGGCTATAATACTGCGTTCATGGCTATACTCATCACTGTGTTGTTAATTATAAATATCTCTAGCGATAATTGAACAATCTTTTGATCGTACTAGGTTTGCTATAGAATATAGATGATCAGCGAAAAGATTAATCCAATGGCTATAGTACTGCGATGATGGCTGCACTCAGTACTGTATTGTCATTTATCAAAATCTCTAGCGATAATTGATCTATCCACTGATCATTCTAGAATTGCTGTAGAACTTAAATGATCAGCGAATAGATTAATCCACTGGTTATAGTAATGTGTAGATGGCTATACTCAGTACAGTATTGTCAATTGTCTATATCTGAAGCGAAAATTGATCTATCCATTGATCATTCTAGAATTGCTATGAAATTTAAATCATCAGTGTATATATATATTTATAGTGACCAATGTTCACGCTCTCAGAGCTAGATGGAAAACGGAGGTTCGAGATTCCTTGCAAGCCTTTGGTGAATCCTCGACTTTCATAAGTGCAAATTCCTATGCTACCTAAGTATCCCCCGTCTAAGACAGGGCCTTAATGACGAGTCCACTAGCAGGCCCAGGACGAAATGCATCTCTTCCTTGCACCCTTCCACCTTCTACCTATTATAGCAAGACGACCACTAGGATACCAACTGGCAGCACAAAATCTTCATAATCCCTATAGGCTTTAATCCCTTGCCCTGCGATTTATGTTCCGATGACACGTGCCATAATCAACAGTAACGTCTGTCATACGTCAAGCCATTTCGAGAATAGCACGTATGTGACTGAGGCAGAAACACATCGACGAAAGTTAACCACGAATCTGACTAATGATAATAATCGTTAACTCTTTGGGACACGCTGTGATTAAAAGTGTCCCACCTTTTTGATGCACCGTAATGCATGGTGGGCCCATTTTTCGTCCCACCTGGAAATATTGCAATAGCTACATGCGCATAGGCTTATATTTCGTCTTATTTACGTAAAATAGTTGGTAATACCTTCGACAAATGTTATAAATCTATTTGCTTGCGTTGGAAACATTCAACGTGCAAGTACAGGCTCATGAATTGTTGCGAGTGAAAGGTTTATTGCGACAATTACTTTTTATTATTTATCGTGACAATTTAGTGAAAATATACCAATCTTGTTTCATTTAAGACGCAATAAAATTTCTATGCAACATGGGTCCATTTTATTATCTGAAATCCTATACCACAAAGAGAAACCTTGCACAAAGAGATCCAAATTACAATTTTTCTAGCTACGAGAATTACTGGTTCCCTAGACGAAATAAATGAATAATAAAGTTAATAAATAAATAAAAGGAGAACCTTCAAGCTGATTACTCATATTGGTCACCTAGTCTCACTCTATCACCTAGTCTAAATTTTTCTTAGAACAGTGAAGGAATTGTGAGGATCGTCACGCGTCAAGCCATTTCGTACTAACGTGACGCAGAATAACACGCTACTGAGAGAGGAAAACAATCGCGAAAATTAACCACGAGCCTGTCAATGTTTACATTCGGTTCTATCTACGAACCGCGCCTCTTGCTACGTCATGTTTGGCCCGATTTCCTTACCACGAGTCTCACACGATATTCTAGGCGAAGGGGTTAATTATGGGAGATGCCTGTTGCGTATACAAACTCATAAGCTAATTGGTCATAACGTGATAGGTTCATTACTGACTGAAAATGTCATATTTACAAATGAAATTGATATCTTTTCAAGAAGAATTTAGTTGTATCACCAATTATGGAACACCCTGTATATAACAGCACTTGGTAAGTATCAGAAGACTCTTGAGAATTCGAAGTGAATATAAATTTTACTGGAAGGTTTGTACACGTTGGTTCATTAAAACTGATATATGATTCGTCGTTAAATAGTACTATTTTGATTAATCTCATGCTTG